CTCACCAGTAGCATGTGAGCACAGGGAGATGGGAGAGGAAAACCTTTTGTATTTAATGGATCCATAGTTTGAACCTATTTGTAGCATTCCCATTTTTCTTTAAGACACTGGATGTAACTGACATGTTTGATTTCCCTCTAGAGGAAAGTTTGCAAACATTTCCTCTAAAATATGCATTTTTGCTCTTATTTTTCTTTCGTGTGAACTGCCTTTTATTCCCAGTAGTATCCATCTATTTCTGTTTGGATATGTTTTTAGAAACCAATGTAGATCCCATCCCGCCTTCCTTATATCACTAAGCCTTGTAAGATGTTCTTGCTCTGTAACCTTCAGCTGCTCTGAAGAACAAGCTAGGAAGTATGTTCTCTGAATTCCCGAAACGCTCCCTTCTTTCTAAGCCTATTTTCTCTTCTCAACTTAAAAAAAAGCTATGTTGCAGTATTAAGCTACTTTCTCATGCACTGTTCTGCAAGAAATATTAACTATTAAGACAATGTTGCCTTATGATGAAAAATCCAAATCCAGTTCAGTGTTTTGTTCTTCAAAAGAAATTCAGTATTTAGTGGTGCTTAGTTCCACCTAAAAGTATACTAGAACAGTCTCAGATTCAAGACTATCTCTCAATTTTGATTTGCAATGGCTGAACTCAGAATATTTGACTTGTGGGGAAAATTCTGCTGGATGATTTTGGGTTTAGAAGAGGTACCTACATTGTAGTGACTGGTGGAAGGGTCTAGATTAGAAGGCCCTTTGGCCAATCGTATTAAGGATTCTTTGATGGACAAAGTGAAAGTTTTTCATCCTTTTCGTAAATATTAAGAATTAATGGAAACCCAGAGGAGAAATGTGACAAGGCTCACTTCAGTGTACCACTATAGAATACAGATATAGTAGACAGTGATAATTGCTCATTTGGCAATCAATTAAAAGAAAATCCTTGAGAGAATCTCAGGGAAGTGAGTTCTGGCATTAGGAAACATATAACATGCAGAAACATCCAAATATACAATCTCTTAAGTAATATATGTTCTTAACCACTTCACTGAACCACTTGTGCTATGCAAACATCTGAATTAACTTTGAGACAAAATAAATCTAATAATGCAAGAAAGACATTGTGAGCAAAACATTGTGAACAAACACTGTGAATGATATAATTTCCTTTCAGGATATGAACTAGCTTAAGAACTACTTCAAGCCTATGAAATATGAACATACTAGATTTTGAATTCAGTTGAAAAATATCTACAATTATTCAATTGTAATGGATGCCCCATATATATACAGGGACCAGGGGTGTTTGCAGGATGAGTCAAAGATGTCAAGATGGAGGTCATAACTCTGCAATCAAAGCCCTGAGGCTTTGGTATATGTGTTGATGTGACATGCATATCAAATGTGGTAGAGCTTCAGTCATGTAGACATAACCACCATCTGATTACTTGACTTCCTCACAGATGTCACTATTTATATACTCTTGTTCTACTACAAATTACCTACAATTTTATAAAGTTAACTAAAACAAAAATAACCAGAATCAACTTGAGTCCCTTTCAATTTCATAAAAGTCCTTCATAGAAACTTGAAAAATTAAATTCCATAAGCACAAATTCAGTTGCTTATTGGCCTAAAAAATCTTTTATTTTATTTGTCAAATTTACATAGCTGCCTATTTCACAAAAAAAGTGACTCTGGGCAGTATTCAACAAAGCTTTCTCATGTATATCAACCTTCCTCAGAAATACTAGAAAAATCTTGCCTACTCCAATATTTGAACAATAGTGTAAACTCAGTTTTTCCCCTTACAAAACGTCCATTAGGGAACACTGCTGTGTAACTTTCTTATAAATAGGTTTCAGCCCTGATAACTGAGACTTCAAAGTTCTTCCCAAATTTATCACCAAATGGCAATTTCTCATGGAAAAACATTAAAATTACAATACACTGAGAGGAATCACTTTAACTGTATTTAATTAGTTTCAATGGATTTTAATTAATTACATTAAATAAAAAACCAAACCATTTTCCTTCTAGCTTTTCCCCCTTTGGGTCCTGTTCGTCAGCATACAGTTTCTGGCCTTCCATCGAAAAGCCAAGTGAAACTTTCAGCTGTTGCATGTCTCAGTTTTAAGTCAAGTACACTGCAGAAGGACAGGCTTCCTAAACCAACAAGACTTCAATTATATCCCCTTCGCCCTCAAGTCATATCTCCAAATGCAAATATCCAGAATTCTTTTTGATAATCCACCCCACCCCCCCAGTAATTTCTACTGACCCAGATTTGTTGGAATGGACCAAGTCTGACTACCAAAGCAACAACAGATTCAAAAGAGTCCTTCTGCTCTGTCATTTCTTGTAATGTTTCTCATTTTGGGGGGGGAACACATTTTTAACAGGGAAAGGTGTCTACAGGTGCAGTCTGGACTGATGAAGCTGGAAATGATTCTTTTGCAAAACATCTTGCAATCCAGGTCAACATAATGGAAGCAGTACAGGTCAGATGGGATTCCAGCACAATGTGACAGTATAGAATCCAGCCAGACTCTTTTCAGCCTTCTCTAATACATGGCCTCAGGGCTGACCTGGACATTATTGTAGATATATGGTACATTGGCTGCTTCAGGTATCAGAAGAGAAAAAGTGAGGAAGAAGGGCAGATTGAACCTTATCCTTATTCTTCTTCCTATCTATCTGCCCCCCCTCCCCGGCACCAATATTGGTTGATTCCTCCACAGACCATGCAGCCCTTGCAGTGGCAGCATTGCTCTGACTCACTCTATTGAGTGCAAATGTCTGCTGCTGCCACTTTTAATGGGCATTAGTATAAAGCCACTTTTTGGCACACCCTGTTTCTCTCTCATTGTTTTTATCCTCCTTCCACTATTTTGGTTTGGTTTGTCCTTTTCTGTACTTCCACAAATTCTAATTCTGCCACCCCACCCTATCCCATCTGTGATGCCACAGTGCCTGCATAGGCAGAAATACTGACCCTTGAAGCTAGGAAATAGAGTGTTTTCATCAACCGTAAATCCACATCATATAAATTTACAAATCTTTTTTTCAGTTAAAGAAATCTGGACCATCATTTAATGATTTAGAGCATGGGTTTGCAATTTTTTTCAAACTGCAGACCTCTTAATCAGCAACAAACTTACTGAAATCTCTGAGCAACAAAATGGAGACCATGGCATTTTTTTTGTGGGAATACAAGTCCCACCCTTTCTTTATACTTAAAAGAAAATTTAATATGGTTGTTGCTAACTGCATTTGAGTGAGGTTTTTAAAGAAAACCCTTTGAAAACTGAATCAGAGTCTAATACTGTGCATCCAGAATTGGTGAGATTTATTCTAAGACCAATCTGCATGCAATCACATTCTAAATTTACTTGTACTGGGCAATGGTTAAGAACAAAATGTCACCACTGCTATATTTATGGCTTTTAATGTAAGACCATATGCAATCCCCCCAAAATTTATATGAGACTTCTAGACCATCTCCAGAAGTTTCCACCAGATGGAAAGGGTGAAGAAGTGAAAGGTGTCCTAACAATTAACTTAATTCAAATTTTATTTTTGTTTTGGCAGGCTCTGCCTACTTTATGGGTGGCCTCCAATACACATCTCAAAGTGTGCCTTTTAACTTTGCAATTGTTCTTTTTAACTCCTGTTTTTAACTTTGTTTTTGACTGTGGCTTTTATTATATTTTATTTTATTTTATTTGTAAACTGCCCAGAGTCATTCATGCAAGTGTGATGGACATTACAGGAATTTCATAAATAAATAAATGTCTAAATACACTTCCTGACATCCTTGCTTTCCTTTTGTCCTTTTACCCCTTTAACAAATATCATCTTATTGCTGGCATTTCCTTTGGTGACAGAAAAAGTGGAATAAGTTTCTAAAGCGACACTCCCTATTTACAGTTGTTGAAAATACAGATCTATTTTTTAAAAAAACCAATTTGCCTAATTTCATCATTTTAGAATTAAATAATCCAAAAGTGATTAAATATTGCAATCTACTCTTTTCCATTAGTTTAGCTTATCAATGAATTCATGGTTCTCCCCTCCGCCCCCCCTTTAATTACTCCAATCTTCTGACAGCAGGATCTTGTGAACAATGTTATGTTTAATGAGAAAATATTCAAATGCATGTTTCTTCTTAAACATACACCCTCCCAAACTTATTTTAGGCAGCAACTTGTTTTCTCTTCTATGAGCAGATGTTGCAAAATAATGCAGTGGTTATTCAACAATAAGCCCTGAGAAGTGAGTGTCGAATTAAAATTACCCGGTATAAAAAAAATGAAATTACATGCATCTTAAATATTAACCCATGCAGAATACCAAAAACTTTATGGAGGATATCCAACCCCCTCCAAAACCAAAACACTTTTCTACAAGATTTACTGTTCTTTTTAATGTATCTTGTGATACTTTACTTTTTCATAGTTTTAGCACTCTTATCACTAGCACTGTTTCCATTTTACAGGTGATCAACAAGTCATTCAAGTATTAACTTGCTAGAAAACAGAGACCCACATCAGTTGCATGCAGCTTTTCTGGATGATTATTTGTGGAATAAGTCACATTTCTAAAAGGTAATAATATACTCAAATAAAGCATCCATTAGGAAGGTAAACATTAAAAAGCTTCATGCATGCAGTAGAGTGCTTTTCTCGTTCTAAACATGTTAACCGATTCCTTCTGTCATCAAAATTGTTTAACCGTAATAAAGGTGTACATCCTGCATCTCTCTGCTGGCTCGTGCATCAGATTTTACCCATCGCCCTTAAAAAAAAGTGAGTCCTGAGCGACATTATGCAAACTTCTAGCCTTGTATGAAAGCCCGAGCTTAAGAAATAAACCGTCATCAGTTTCCCTGAGGGAATATGCCTGCGCACCTTCCGTGGATTTCCCAATTCCCTCCGTCCACTCCGATTCGGGGGCGGGGCGGGGGGGGGGGAGGTCGAGCGCAGAAACGGATTTGCGTCTCTTACCTTCACTACCTCGTCGTTGAGATGCTTGGGGTCCCGGTTAACCAAGTCGATTTCTTTGGTGTGGACGTCCTGGAACTCCTTCTCGCTAAGTTCGTCAGCCATGACCTTGTTGTTGGGCTTGTAGATGTTGCCTTGCTCCCGGATAGGCCCCGTGTAGAGAAAACCCTAGAGAGGGAAGCGGGGATGGGTGGGAAAACGATCAGTCCGCCGCGCTGCCTGAACTGAGCGTCCCTGGGAAAGGAAAGGGAGGGAGGGGTGGGAAAAAAATTCCCGCGACGATTCAGAACTGCTGACTGAATTGGGGAGCTGATCAAGCCAGGAGGAACTTCATGCGGCCACTGTCCTCAAGGCTGGGTTTTTAAAAAAGTACCTTCACCACACCCCTCCGCGAACCTGCCTGTGCTGTAATTCCTTCCCGCGCCGCCAGGGGGCTTCTAAAGGCAGAAGCAGGGAGAGGCGAGCTCCGCGAGGCAGGGAGCGGCTACCTCGCCCTTGAATTCCGGCGCTTCCAGGCTCCGGGCGCCGAAATCGCCGATAAATGCCAAAATTACCCGCCCACCCCTCCGTGGGAGAAAACCAGACACAACTTCACCGATCCTTTGGTTAGACGGAGGTTCTTGACTTCGGAGCCCACGACATTTTGCAAAGTGCATGAACTCCCCTTTGATAAAGTTACTCTCGAGGAAACGCGGGTGCATCGCCCAAAGCCTCCTTTTATTTCGTTTTAAGATCCGCTACAAACATGGCTCCTCGGACTATCCAGGCAGGATCTGAGGTTGGCATCAGTTGAGCATTCCAAGGAATTAGGGTAGGTGGCAAAGAGACCACGCAGCAATCATTAAAAGGACAACTTCGGACAGTCTTGGTCCGATTTTCCCGCAGGCAGGTTTGGGAGGAAGAGAGCGATAACTAACTATTCATTACATCGCGGAATGATGAACGAGACTTCAAAATATTTAATTTGAAGTAAACTGACAATGAAAAGTGAAGTTTCGAGCCTTCTCCAACTTTGAGCCTGTCAAAAGTCTTGGCACTCTAATATCCAGCACCCAGCCAGCGTGGTCACTCCATTTAGACTGGACCACGTCGGAAAGGCTGACTGGTTGATGGTGCCCAGAGAAAAGGAAACCTGCTTTGCAATCTTGCTCAGTTCTGGGGAGACGTTCCTAAAATAGAAGAGGAAATCGGCTTTTCCTATGCCCAGTCGGTTTTACTTCAAAGGATAAACAAACAAACAAAAAGTCCCAAAATCTCAGTACTCAGGCGTGAAAACTCTCTGGTGGAGGCCCAACCCGAGGCATTCTGTTTAAGCAATCCCAACCTCGCGCTTCCCTCTTTTGGATGGGTGCAACAGACCTGCTCCACCTAAGAGCTAAAGACCCCTCTAGGGACGGGTGGCCGCTGGACTTGGGAATTGCGTTCTCCAAAAATCCTCTCCCCCGCCTTAATTAATAACCACAACGCGGTGTGTGTGTGTGTGTGTGTGTGTGTGACTGGGGTCCTGCACCCGACAGATTTTGCAGAGCAGCAAAGCCTCCCCCCCCCCGCACTTACGCGCCGAGAGCCGTTTGCCTGCTGGCCTCAGGGTGGAGACGCCCTAGCTAGCTGGTGCGATCTTTCGACTGCTGCGGGGCGAAAGAAACTGAGCAACCCAGCTCCGGGGGTGGGGGGAGGAAAGAGAAGTACCCAGCCAAGGAGATCGAGTTACCGGCCGACACGCATAACCTCCCCTTGCCCGGAAAAGTCCGGACTTCCTCCCCTCTGGGGAAGGGGCTCCGAGGTGGAGAGACCGAGATAGGAGGCGAGCCAACAGGGCTCGCGAGACGGCTGGAGCAGGTACCGAATGCCAGGAATGTCAAGCAGTTTTTAAAAATGCAAAGCAGCTCCTACCTCTGAATCTACGTATTTGCTCCCAGACATGCTGTCTTGGGCTGGCTCGAGGCGCTGCAGAAATGTTTCTGATGGATAAATGGCAGGATCCGAAGAGGGACGGGACCTGACGCTGGCAGCACACACGATTCCCCCCCGCCCCGCACCCGCACGCGCACACACAGGCGGCTGCCGAGTGGGAAGCATCTCCAAGTGGCCGGGTTGGCCGCCCGCCAGAGTTTGCTTCTGCTGCTACCTCTGGGGCAGAGCTGAGAGGTCTCGAGCCACATCTCTAAGGGTGCGGGGGCGCGCGGGGCGGGGGAATGCCACCCACTACAGGACAGCCTAACCACGTCCAGCAGATTCTCTCCCCCCCCCTCTTTATTCCCTAATTGGAAGCCGGAGGCGATACTTGTTTTTTGGTCAGTCCCAGCAACCTTGAAAGTCCCCAGGTCCACGCGCCGGCTCTACCTCTTTGAGCGGTCCTGCTGCTCCGGCTAAAGGGGGAAGAAAAAAAAAAGCAAAAGAACACGGTCGCCTTGTTTGCAATTGCTCGTCACTGGGGTTGCGATCTTTCCTTAACGGTTAAATAAATAAAAAAGAGAGAGTCCTCTACTGTTCTGCCTCTCTCCTGCTGTCAAAGCTGTGTGCAAAAGTCACGGGGCTGCCTTGGGGCTTCTGCGGAATCACGCGGAACGAGTGAAAGAGTTGGCCATCCCGCTGGATCAAAGCTGATGGTCATTACGAAGCTTCTGCGCGAAAAACCTCCTGTGTTTAGAAACTTGGGCTTCCCTCTGAGCGACATGGGGACCTTCGTTCATGGCTGCTACATTTCAAAATGTTTTTATTTGCTTGGTTCTTTCTCTCCCCCCCAAAAAAAAAAACCCCTGCCTCCATAATTAGTATAGTATGCATATGAATATATTAAAGAGCTGATTTGTTCTTCATGGTGTTTTATTAAACATAAACTATTGATGATACCATAAATAGCAAATGTGTTACCTTACAAAGGTTTTACCACCTGGATTGCATTGGTATTGGAAATGGATCATTTAAAGGGCATATGGGGTTGGATGGTAATGCACAGGTATTTTAAAGGGCATTAATGCCAGAGAAGCGAAGAGAGACTCCAGACTGTTTTGCTTATACTGAAAGCATGGAATTCAGGGTGTGGTTGCTGGCAGCAAAATAAAGTGTAAGGAGCTTCAAGAAAGCAAAATAGAAAGTCAAAGTACATTTAAACTTAGAACGGGACAGTTGGGGCACTGGGTCCAATCCTCCAGCAAAATCCTGGAAATTTAATCAAACCAGTGTGGGAAGAATCCAGAGAAAGAAATATTTTGGGGAATATTAAAAAGGCAGAATATATTTTCCCAAAGGAATAATGGAGATCTTTTAAAAGGCAGAAACACCCCCACACACACAATTCAGCAGAAATCAGCTTTTAGAAATGCAGATGTAATAATCCATTCAGGAAGGTTGGAGCCAGGAAGCTAGAAATTAGGAAGACAAAGACACCTAAAATCTACATACCCCCCACCCAGATTCTAAGGACAGGAGACATAATAGGATTAACCCAACAATACCAAAAGGACACACTCAGACTCAGGTCAAAGTACATGACACAGGAAATACAAAGCCTCAAACAGGAACAGGAAACAACCTCAAGAGCCCCAGAAGGTATAAAAGCCCACCACTTTGCTCCATGTGGTCAGTTTTTCCAGAGCCATCTTTCTGTCTGGATCTTCTCTTCAATAAACTACAACCTTCTTTCTAAAGCAGTCTCCATGTTGTTTATTCCCTATTTGGACTGGACCCTGATGAAGATTTTTCTTTCTACACCAGCATATACATTGGGCAATGATTTGGTCTTGCTTATGATAAACAAGCTGCTAAGGATTCAGTCATTCTACTGGCTGTAATGAGAGCCAAGTTGGTGCATTGGTCTAAAACTGTGAATTCTAGTCCTGCATGGAGAAGCCAGCTGGGTGATTTGGGGGCCAGTCCCTTCTCTTTCAGTCCCAGGAAAAAGGTAATGTCTGAAAATGTTGCCAAGAAAACTACTATACATGGATACCCTTGTAGTCACCAGGAGTCAAAACTGAATAGAAATCATACAAAACAACACACATGCACAAACTTGACTTCAATAGTCTGGTGATAATAAGACTAACGTTAGACCACACTAATTATTTTGCATATCTATTTCATTAGTTCAATGTATTCCAGAATTCTCATTCTTTAGGAGACCACTCCCTTTCATATGTTCCAGTGTTGGTATTTCAGATTCACTGCTGCTGTTTTCTTTGTGTCAAAATTGAATCCAGTGTGTGAATACAAAAGGATTGTGAATTTCAGTATTTTCACAGTAGCCAACCTCAACTGCACCCAGCCCTGCTATGCTCATCCTTCCCACCAACCCCCCAAAGGATAAAGAGCTGCATAAGTCATGAGAGCAGAGAGTAAGTCTAGGTTTGCAGAGCCTTTCTGGGAATCTTTAAATAATGTCTAAAGACAGGCTCATACTTGAAGAGTTTTAGCCCAAAAAGTTATTGGAATTGTCCAGAGGACAGTGTCTTTATTTAGGATAACTTGATCTCTTCCAGCTCCTAAGCAGTAGAATTTTGCCACATCTCAGATGCAAATATTCAGTAATAAATACTGAAAAATCATTTATCATAAACATTTCAAGCCCTGTTTCATGGGCAAGGGAATATCTGAAGCAGTGCTTTCCCTGAAGACCTTGATGGGTCACTGGAAAAACATGATCCAGGCAAACCTTCATTCATCCTAATCTCGGCCTTGAATTTCTGAATTTCAAAATCTTCCTTCCTTCCTCCCTCCCTTCCTATTTACTTATTTGCACTAGGCACAACAATGCCATCTGTCTCTTCAGTAAACAATATTTGTCAGAACTTTAAAATCCTACATAACTGTTTTTCGTTTGGTGTTTTTTGTTTTTTTTTTGTAATAACCATGCAAGATTGCAAGACACAGTTCATGGAATGTTACATACATACTGGCAGAGTTTATATTCGGTCAGATGAATTCCAGAACAGGTTAGGAGGAATTGTGATGTCTGGTAAAGTGGTCAAATGTAGCTATTTAAACTCAATTGTGAAATATGGATATATAAGAAATGCAGATATTTGAAACAACTTGTGATAAATGAAATACATCACTAAGATCTAGAAAGGCAGTTGCAGTTATAGTTGCATTAACCAACATTTTCATATCTAGAATGCCTCTGAACTGGCAGCCTGTAAAACCACCTTTATGAAAATGCTTCCATTCTTTTCTACCAATTATTTACTGAAGGAAAAATAATAGATACATAACACATCCTTGAAAATAGAATAAGATATGACTAAGGGCATGGATTGTCCTTTCTTCAATAAACTGAGTGTCAGCTTCTTTGGATCCAACAAAGTCAAACAATTGCTACAATGTAGTAAATCCATTTCTGGGGCCCCTTTGCTATATATTGCACAGAGTTGTGAGATGCAGTTAACAGAATAGTTTTATCTACTAGATCAGAGGTCCCCAACCTTTTGGGCACCAGGGACCAATTCCATGGAGAAAGGTTTTTCTGCGGACCGGAGGGGGCGTGGTTTCATGTACTGCCTGCGTCCCGCGGATGGGGCTTTGCTTGTTTGCGCGTACCAGTTTCTGGCATGCCATGGACCGGTGTCAATACAGACCCCTGTACTAGATAACACAGTAGAGTCATGAGGTGCCACATTTATGTTTTTATCACATTTCTATATCACCATTCACTTAGAAGATAGTCCAGTAACAGTGATGTGGGCCTAGAATATTTTAGAGAGGGTGCAGCAAGCATCTTTGGTCAGGATCTTAATAGCACTGACTACTAGATAGAGCTGCAACATGTATTAGATTCTAGATGATTCTGTCTGGGCTTTGGAGATAGCAGAATTAGCACTGGTTATGTTTGATGGGAGAGCACCAAGCAATATCAGGAGAATAAGACAGACTGGAGGTCAAAGAATTTCCTAGAAAAAGACTGTAACAAATCACTTAACAAGTTCCTCCCTCCAAACTTTTTTCTTCTCTGATGAATATCATTCTTTCAGCAGACAGGTATGCCTAATAAAATACTAAATTAGAATAGAGAAATACTGGATCCAGCCAGTAATTAAAACATAAACAACACATTAAAGAAGTTCAAATAAGAAAAAAACCCTATGAAGGGAACAGTGACAACCATGCAGCCACCCTTCCTTTCCATTCTGGAGGGTGCTTCCATAACTAATCCAGTTATTCCATTTGGAGCAACTAAACAAATAAACTTCACTTTCACTTTATATTGTTAAAGTATACCTAACTGGGAATCAGAAACTCTTGTCAAGTCAAATGGTTGCATAGGAGATTTGGAAGGAAGCTACAATATCAGATTCCTTGTGTGGCATGTTGGCAAGTGCATTAGTAGACGATGGACAGGGAGGGGCCAGCAACATTGGCTAAGTGAAAGTGTCCGCCTGCTTCAGCTAAATGATACCCAACCGGTGCAACCTGTCAGTGTTGTTGCCAGAGCAAATTTACACTGATATATTTTGTACTCCTCATGGCCTAGAAGACAACAAGTTAAACCAGATGCCCATATTTCTCCCGATCTCTTTACATTGCCACCATGCTGTAGGAAAGTGTCACTCTCAGTGATGTTTTAGTTAGGGCCCCAAAGGATTGGAGCGTGTATAACTGTCCAGGTTTTGCTGAACTTCATCTCCCACTATTCCCTACTGTAGTCTCTGCTAGCTGGGGTTGCTGGAATTGTAGTTCAGCAACATTCAGAGGGCCATAAGTAGAAATGATACCAACATTTGATTTTTTTAATATATTTTTTTCTATTTGGCTTTCCTTAAAGGGCTGACATCTCATTTTATATCATTCTGACAGTGATTAATTTGACAGAAAAGGACGATTCTGAAGACATGCCGCCAATTCCCAAATTATTATCCCAGAAACCAAAGATGATATACATTATTCAAACACATGGAAAGCATGTGTAGTATACAAATGTTCTGTTAAAAATTTAACTTCAATTGGTGTCTGCTTTGTTGAATATATAAATAAAACCTTCTACTGCAGTTAATGAGAACTTTATATTCTCATTAAAAGGATTTTGAAAATACAAATTACTCCATATTTCACGTCTATATTAGACCTGGAGGTCAAATCTAATCTGATTGATTTTGTAAAGCCTTTTAAAACATTCTGCATATTTTTTGCAGCATATGAATACACTGTATAGTGATATCCACACAAATTGCTTTTTCTAGAATCATAGTCATTTTGCCCATTTATTGTTGCTCAAGCACCAATTTGATGTGCCATGTAAGGCAAGGATAAATCACTTAATGTGTCACTATATTCTTTTATTCTCAAGGAGTGGTACTTGGGGATTCAGGTCCTAAAAGAAATTAACATGACTTGGGTGCCAAGAGTTTGATATATAAATGCAGGTACATGTGAGCATTTGCAAAACAAGGTGCCTTTGGCTTATACTGTGCTTTTATCATCAGCCAGCTGACTCAATGCAACACTTCCAAAGTAGATGTCAAGTGAAAATAAGGGGAATATTATAACATAGGACTGGACAAGATTGTCCAGGACATTGAACTGCCTAAAAGAAAGAACAATCCATGTTGTCAGCATGAAACTTGACTGCCTAGGCATCAAGATTCTTGTGCTACTATATGCTAAGCACGGCATACACTGGCCTGTCATAACATATCTGACCGTCTTTTTCTCCCAACCATTCACTGTTTTGTTTTGTTTTAAGTCAGGTTTAAAAGGGATCCTGACAGGTGCCCAACATTCCATTGACACTTTGGTAAAGGTGGTCATGGGCATTATATTGCTTATCGATGGTTTAATGTAACTTTGTTAAAGTCAGTCCACTTGGCAATTGAATTGACATAACTATTTCTGCAATGTTTGTCTATGACTATAATAAACTTTAAATAAATGTTTTTTTGCAAGAGAACATCCTTCTAACTCTGTCAGTAATATATTTCTTATGAGAAGTACAGTATTTATATTCAATCATAAAGACAGAAAAAAATGAATGTTAATCACTTTCATAAAAATAATCTTTAAACTACATACTATAGAATTGTTTGCCAGATTGTTTGCAGCATTAAAGGGAAATTATAAGAGAACTTGTGTATGTTCTTAATGCCCCTGTGCATTTCAACTGAAGTTTTATATAACTTAATCAAAGGCTCTTTGATTAATACAGCTAATTGAACACTTGTGTGTTTAAAATGTATATAGATATTGCACAAAGTAAGAGCATAGCTTGTAGATTAAGTATCTGCACATCCTAGGGTAGAAAGGAGTATCTACAAATTCCTTAGTTCTATGTGGGATGCTTAGTTCATCAGGTACAATAAGTGTTGTGCTTGGTTCTTTTATAGAATTCAGCTTCATTGGATCTCCTGCTCTTTCTATCTTGCATGCATGAAAATGTCTTTCCATGCAAGGCAGATCTCTAGAGCAGACCACTGGCTGAAGCAGCCCATGTTTTTAGAATAACCATTTGGAGAGATTATAAGAATAATGCTTCAAGATAATCTTTTACTTTGTCATTTACATACAAAACACAATATATACAAAAAAGTCAAAAGTTTAATTAAATATAGCATGAAGATTTTCTCTCCTCTCAGATAAACATCTCATTTTAAAGAGTGAATTTGGGAAGGTTTTGTTTTTCTTCTGATACTTAGGAATATACACAGTGGACGATACAAAAAGTATTAAGCTAGTATCCTTTATCTGTTCAGCTTCGTGTCTACTTGTTATACAACTCTTTACAGAATTTTGGAAACCCTCAAATCCTGTTAAAAGATATCCCTTATAACCTCCCTCCTCCCATGAGGCATATACTTGGTTACCCAGCTTGGAGACTTTACATATTATTCTGATTCACAGAAATCCTGCAAGAGTTTTCCTGTTTGACATTCGTGCAAATGAAGGAAAATGCTTGCATGAATTCCTCTGTTATTAGGAAACTGCATTTGGAGCATATTTGTACCCAAGGATATGTATATATATGTTCCAAAACATTTTAAAGCATAAAGACAGGGAAAAGAGCCCGAGTGGCTTGTAGGCAATACCGAACTTAGCTTCTCAAATGGCTGTGCCCACGTAAGCATTTACCTGGTTTTTGCTTGTGTTGTACTATAAACATTTCTGACTTGCTGCTCTCTAAACAATCATCAAAATTTCACCTTTAGTATTCACTGAAGAGTTCAAATATAGCTGCACATAGATTCTACAAAGTTTTAAGATCCTATTGTGTTGGAAGTCCATGGGTTTGGGAAACTGTCAGTACTTGAAATATGAATTACAGATAGTCCTTGACTTACAACAGTTCATTTAGTGACAGTTCAGTTACAACAGCATTGAAAAAAGTGACTTATGGCCATTTTTCACACTTACAACTGTTGCAGCATCCCCAGTCATGTGATCAAAATTCAGATTCTTGGCAACTGACTCATATTTATGATGGCTGCAGCATCCTGGGGTCATGTGATCACCTTTTGTGACCTTCTGACAAGCAAAGTCAATGGGAAAGCCAGATTCACTTAACAACCGTGTCACTAATTTGGCAACTGCAGTGATTCACTGAGCAACTGTGGCAAGAAAGATCATAAAATAGGGCAAAATTAACGTAACAAATGTATCACTTAGCAACAGAAATTTTGGGCTCAATTGTGGTCGTAAGTCAAGGACTACCTGTATACTAAGAGGTTATACAGTTCAAGAAGCTGATAGATTATAGAATCTATAAACAAACAAAGCTAGCTGTTTATGTGGCTAGAAAAGCTAACCAGCAGAATTCAGATAAGAAAACTCTTCAAAAGTAATCTTTTATATTCTGTTCTTATTTCTAAGAGCTGTATAACCTAACATCAATAAATAGGCCTAATTTATTGGTAGCATGACTTCCAGGAAATTTGAGTGATACAATAAACATTTGATTGATACACCTCATGATGACCTCTCTTAGTTATCCACAACACATTTATGGAAACCAAGTATTAGAAGTACCATTACCTTAACATTGTTAAATGTCACTTGTTATCTCTTAGTTACAATATAAGCTAGTATCTTTTCTGTCCCCAAATAAAGCTTTTTCCCCCATAAAAAGTGCAACCCAGCTGAAGGGAGGAAAGGTCAGCCCTTTAAACAGCAGTAGCTTTGGAATGAATGCTTACGTGTCTCTATATTATACCAATAAGGAGACTTTAATAGAACTTAAGACTAAAATAGCATTGGATCCAAAGTGTTCACTCTTGGTCAAGACGTATGTTGATTCCTGAAAAGCAACGTCCCATGCTGTGACACACTGGTGCAATGAAAACATCTGTCAAGCTCTTCCATACAGCTTGCACGGACGGCAAGATCAAAAGGCAAGACTTTATGAATGGCACCACAACCCTAGACAAAAAAGAGAGACTTGTTAGCAATCATTTCTTAAACTTCATTACCTTTGTAATGAAGATGACTAGATCTGAAACATCCTGAATAAGATCTAATTTTAGTACATCAGCAGCAAGATAGAATTGGTCTTACTGTAAGTTATAGATGCCTACAAAATCTTTTAATTCGCTTAGAAGCACCTGTGTTGCAACCCTGACTGTGAAACATGGTTTACCATGTAGTATGATATGCAGATCTAGTAACTATATGTCTTATTCAGTAAATCATGAATTAAAATCACAATGGCATGATCAATGAACCTGGATATTGTTTCATTTTAGCCTGCAATCATACTAGCACATAATTTGAACGAACACCATACAACATTTTGGGTCTCGGTTTTAGTAAATATGTGCAGGGTTGTGTTAACTTCCTTCATTGTTGAGTACTATTTATTATTTTGTCATTTTTTCTTTGTTTGTATGAAAATGAAATAATGCTTTCTAATCACATTAAAAAGGAAAAAATGTTCTCCTGGGTTCAGTTCTCCTGTAGTGATGTTACAAATATCTGATAATCACTAAATGGTAGAAAAGAGTTTTCTGTATTTTTTTCCTCCCAGTTCATTGTAGCTCTAATTTGATAGGTCAACATTTATTCCCAATTCCAGTTAGGTCTCAATTAACAGGATTACAGTCTTAGCTATTTGTAGAACTAATAAAGAAATACCCGCCCCCTTTTTTCTACCTAAAGAACATGTGCTCAATGCCCAAGAGAAAGTTTTTTCTGCTCCCAGTTTGCCTGTTTGCAAGCTAGTTATTCTGACATCATATAAGATGCTAGATATCATCTTGCTATGACCTTTCTTACAACTTTCTCGCAACTACTAAAAACTTGGATATGCCCAAATTCAACCCTTATTATACTCAACAAAAGCAGCACTGATGCTATCAGGGTTTGGGAGTTGATAAGTTAAGTCTGTATTTGGGGGAAGCTCTAGCTTTTTCTCTTGGTTTTCACTCTATCTTCCTGATCCATGCCCACTGTGGTTTTTTTTAAAAAAAAGTTAATTATCCTTAGACTGTCTTACTTCTTCTTCCCAGCTACATTGTACTACATGCTGATATGTTAAGGGCAAGCTGTATGAAGACCTGCATCATATTATGGTTAATGTATTTCACCAATTTATCAGAATCCAATCACTTCTGCTTAGAAATGCATTCCGGTGATGGCATTGGAATAGCATGACCCCCTATCAATCTAATGGCCTTATTAGCTTGGGCGCTCCTGCAACACCTGACAGGTTGCTATCTTACAAAGGGTATGTTGATGACTTATATTTCAAGCAGCTATTTGATACTCTATTTGAACAAAGTATGTTCTGACTGGCATAAACTTAAGATTTCTGATAACTTTTTTTAAACAAGCAAGTATCACGTTAGGCCAGTGATGGCGAACCTTTTAGAGACCGAGTGCCCAAACTGCAACCACTTATTTATCGCTGGGTGCCAGGTGGGCGTGGCCCACTAGATGGGTGTGGCCCACTGGGTGGGCGTGGGTGTGGTGGTCATGGCAGACTGTGTGGGTGTGGCCAAGGTGGGCATGATCACCTCAATGTTGCTCGTGGGGAGGGACGCCTGTGGGAGCCAGACAGCATTGGGGGAGATCCAGGGGGTCTCTGGCAGGTGGGGCGGTGGGCAGGAGGCTCATTCTGCGGGGTGAGGCGAGGCAGGGCAGGGGTGCCATTGTCACAGGGCAAGGCAAGGCAGGGGTCGGGGCGGCTGCTGCCTGACACCATCGGCCCCTGCACACAGAGGCCAGCGAGCTCAGGGGGGCTGACAGTGTCCATCAGCAGCCACAGCCTGCTGGCGCCTCGACTGGTGCACTCTGGGGCTCCGCAGCCCACCACCAGCAGTTCAGAGAAGCCACCTCTGAGCTGGATGGCTGGCCGACAGCTGAAGAGGCGATGCAGTGGGTCGTGCCTGGGAAAAGGAGAGCATGCGAGGCCAGGAGGGACGGGACGGGGGGGAGGGAAACCAGCCGTGCTGGGATGCATCCGGCCATGTGGGACCTCGGAGAGTTAGCGGGTGGCTGGTTGAAGAGGGATGGTTGCCATCTCCGTGGCATGGCACGCGTGCCCACAGAGAGGGCTCTGAGTGCCACCTCTGGCACGCATGCCATAGGTTCGCCACCACTGCATTAGGCCATTTGATGATTCAAAATTCAGTAGCAACAATATGTTGCTAATATTCTATCTTGTGTTCTCTAATAATTCCTGACAAACTGAAAAATACCCTGTCCTCTTTTCTTCCTTCTTTCTGCTGGAACTATAGAATGATCTCCTCATCCTTTTCAGAAAACAAATAGAAAAGTTCAATCTGCATTTTGAAGGTAGATATTTTTTTCAAGGGGTACAATGGGTATTTCTGCAAGTCTTAAGATTTTCTGTTTTTCCTCTTTAATTTCTGTCAAAACTTTACCTCTCTCGATTTTGCACCCACAATTGGGGCCTCAAGCCTGCTTGGTCCCGCCCATTCTTGTTCTAAACTATATCTATAAACAAATAATTTTTGCTAATATTGGAGTTTTCCATAGAGCATCATGAGATGCTAGTAGTACTTTTAATGCCCTATTTTCATTTACATATTGATGTTAGTTAGTTGGGGCTTTTCATCTAAAAACAGAAGTTGTGTTTTTAACTGCTGCTGAAGTTCTTTGATGGTTTTGGAATCCAAACAGGCAAGCAACTAATCACAACTTTGATTTACCTTTGCCAGGATTACAATAGCAATAGCAATCCATACAAGTGAGGAAGATCTAGAACATTTCTTTCAATCCTCCCAGGAAATAAGAATAAAATAAAAAATCTGCAGTGAATTGCATGCATTAAAATTCTTGTTTTCATTTTAGGAGTTTGGGTTTCCATCTTATTCCTATAATTACAGACAGAATTTGGCATCTTTTACTGGAGACATTGATAGTGAATCAATAGATCACATAATTACCGCCAAGCATATACCACAAGGATCTATTTTAAAAGATATGTAAATATTCATACAGCACTTGCAATGTACTTCTTGACATTTCTTCCTAAATTTAACTCTGTAGCCAAAGAAAAGGAGAAAGATCTATTTAGGCAACAGAAGAATGCAGAGCGGCAACATTTCTAGATCATGCTTGCAAACAGCTTATTCAAAGTGGTTGGTATTGGCACAGGTTCAGATTATTCTTTTATGTCTAACAGATAATGTAACTATGGCCACCAGTATAACAAAACCTACAAACGGTACAATAAGTTAAAGGTCCAAATTAAATTAAAATAGCAACCATAGCTTTTAAAAAACAAATTACTGTATTGTCATTATTGTGATTTCTTTAAAAAACATCTTACAATTGTCCTCCAGGCCTGATGAAATTATTTTTTGTGCATGCTCTTAATTCAGTTCATGGAGAGGTGAAACTCTCTGTCCTCCAATGTGGGTGTGCAATTGTTTCTCCACTCAGGGTGCATTCTGGGTGTAGAAGGAATGTGAGGTCAAGTTTTTCTGTGAATTTTTGGCAGGCTAGCAGTGTAACAACTCTTCTCTGTTGGCACGTCAACAGTACTTCCCTACCCATGGTGGTGGTATTCAACCTTCAACACGTTTTGTCTTAAAGCATGTTAATAATAAAGTCCCTGTTTTGAAGGTGAAGAAACGAAACATGGCACTAGAATTGCACTCACTTATGAAACTGCATGAAGCAAGGCGTGTGTATATGTCTGTGTATGTGTCTCTGTGTGTATTGTGCATCTGCGAATGTAATCTAACCACAAACTGGAGTTACTTTGGCTCTTTCCCAAAGGACATTGGGAGCATTTGAGAAGAATTCACTACCCTGCCCTCAAAACAAGCAACGGTTGCACACTCCTTAACCAAAGGGATTCCACAGGAAGACAGAACAATGGTCTCACATGTCCATTCACCTGACTCAGCCTTCAGATTTTTGGGCAAGCATTACTGGAATGGGAAATCACCCTTTGGGGACTCCTAAAAATCCTAGTAAAACAGTGAAATGACCTTAAATGCTCTGTTTCTATGGGTAGGGGCTATAAAATCAGACTTATTTGAAACAGCCTTTTCACCTTCCCAGGGGAATTCAGTTATGCATTGGATTCTCTTTATATATATATATACACACACATACATATATGTACATACATACATACATACATACATACATACATACATACATACATACTAAGTAGGACCTAGATTGGGACCACTTATGTGAAGGAAGAAGATCTTACTGTTTCATTTTCAAATTTCTCTCTCCTGCAAGGGAATTTAAAATTTGAGGGGTAGGGAGAGTTTCAGAAAAGAAGTGATTCTAGAATGGAAATCCATGTGCTTATTTCAGAATTTAAAAAAACAAAACAAAACTAAGAGGATCATGGTACATTATATCACCAACGAGGGACAGGTTGTAGCAACTATCTGGTCTTGAAAAAGCTAAGCAGGGTCAGACCTGTTACTACTTGAATGAGAGACCACTAGAAAAATCCCAACAGTAGGCTAAACTGAGAAGTTGAAAAGAAATCCCACTCCAGAAGAAGGCTGTGAAAAACCACTTCATTCTTGTTGCCAAGAAAACAACACCAACATATTCATCATAACACCACGAGTCAATTCATGGTTCAACATTTGGAAGATTTTAAATTGATTTCAGTTTTTACACTATTATCAACATTATGTCAAGGAATATACTGACATTAAAAGATTTGTGTTTGGCATCCATAGTTCAAAATGGATTACAGAAAGAGCTTTTCAGTGGTAATACCCCACTTATGAATTTTCCTCTCCAAATTAGCCTTCATAATATCAGCAACACTTTTGAGATTTGCCATCAGTATGCCATCTTTGTGTGTGTGTGTGTGTGTGTGTGTGAGAGAGAGAGAGAGAGAGACAGAGAGAGAGAGCTTTATCCTTATAGAGATAATATTCTACTTATGACTGTAATTAAGCCCTACGTTATGGTCGTAAATCATGCTGGTCATTAAGCAGGTCATAATGTGACTGTGTCCTATTTTATGACCTTTTGAGACTGTTGTTAAGTGAACATTGCAGTTGTTAAATTAACATTATGGTTATTAAGTGAACATTGTAATCAATGGGCATTTTTTTGCCAGAAACCAGAAATAAATGCCAGTTTTTTGGGAAAAAACCCCCATAAATCACAGTCGTATATCTGTGGGATGCTCAGATGACCATAAATGTAGACCAGTTGCCAAGTGCCCAAAATATGATCACATGACCACAGGTAGGACTAGCTGACAGAACTTCAAAACTGGATCATAAGTCGTTCTGGGGAGGTCTGATATAACTTCGAATAGTTGCTGAGTGGACCAGTCATAAGTCAAGGCCACCTCTATTTTATAATGCTACTGGCAGACTCTTGTAGAAAGAATACTAGCTTCACTGTTCCTATTAACAATCTCTACATCTGAGGCAGAGGTCTTTTTGCTCTTGCATAACCACAAACCACAAAAGATGGATTCCTGAATATTCTGTTTTCTCATCACTTTGACCAAATCTTCGAGGCTGACCATGTATAGTCTACAGCAATGCAAGTCAATTTTGGGGAAGAGGTAATGTTGGATATTTCTTACATTTATTGGAAAAATGCCTCTGAAAGCCTTCTTTAAAAATCTACTTCAAAAATACCATGCAAATTTTTGCTAATCAATAAGAATTTGAACTATGTTGACTGGAAATCATGAAGAAAGTTCAACAGGTTCCACATTGAGAAACGCTAAGTTCCACCAATGTTTTAATTAGAATAAGGCAGTTCCCTCTGTTTTAGGTTCCATAAAACAAAAAGAGATAATACAATTCCAAGAACTATAATCATGAACTTGATAATCATGGGATAGGCTACTGCTTGGCCAAGGACTTATAAAATGTGCCAAGTATCACCTTTCTTCAGTGATCATAGGATTTTTGAAATTATCAACCACAGCAAATCAACTTGCTTGACAGCTTACAATCTATAAATGAATTCTAGTTAAATCATAGCACAAAAAGTCCTAAATAAGCTTAGAGATAGTCTTTTCTGGATGTTGAATACCTCATTAATGAAAATATTTCCACTTCCTGATTTACTGAACACATCCCTTCTGAAAAAGTTAATATCTTGAATGCAGTTTTGTAAGGGTTTATGCTCACAATATAGAAAATCACTTTCATATATTTGTGTCATAGTAATGCCTTATAGGGAGATACATCTTCAGTGAGATAATTTACAGTCATGGTTGAAATGCAGGGATTCAACACTCATTAAAAGCGCTTCTCAATAGTTCCTTTTGACAGTGTTGTTATTGTTGTGCATGTTGCAATAAATTACATGCATACACTTTCTGTATCTTTCACATACATACAGACTGAAAAGTTTGAGGCTCATAGTTGACGAACTCATGTCACAATCAGCTTATTTTATGCATTCTGGCAAGATATCTTTTTACCTCTTAAACCAGGGGTGTCAAACTGCCAGCCCATGGGCCGATTGCATCATACGGATGCCACACTCACCCCAGATCCGACAATGCAAAAAAAGTTGTGATACGTCGTGACACGTCCCGTGACACGGTGAGTTTGATACCTGTGTCTTAAACGTATCTGAATATGACAATAATAGTGACATTTCTTAAGGGGGTGGGGTGTTCTACATATATTGTTAAGTAAATATGTAAGTACATAAATAAATAATAAATAAGGGGTGCTTGGGAGTTAGGGTTTAGTTAAACTTTCTGGGAAATAGTGGCTCAATTTTGTTTAAAAACAATGTCTGCTTCAAATGTGTGTTTATCATCTGATAACTGTTGTTGAAAGAATATGTGCAAATAGCCATCATAGCTGAAAGAATGTGTATGTGCAAATAGCCTCAGATATCTCAAATATTTTTTTTCATAATAGAGCATATACGCACATTCAGGCATCAACCATTGTATGGGAAATCAAAAAAGACACAGGCATGTATGAACTTGGTCTAAGTTAAACTACAGCTACAATAATGTCCTAAAGCATTTAAAGCATTTTGCAAATCACAGCTGCACTGGTACTGAAGCAACATCTAAGATACTACAGAACTGATCTGAAATCCTCTCCATAGTGAGAAAAAGAGCACCAACCATTTTGCTGGAGAAAAAATTCAATATGGGATCATGTCCCATATTTAGGTCTACTGCAGATTTTTATTTTATTTTCATTGGTTGAGTCATTTCATTTTTTGAGGTTGGGAAATCCCATCTTCAAAAAAATCTCCCCAAAGGATATGGTTGGGAATTAGGCAACCGTGCCATTTTTCCATATGTCTTGCCAGAAAATGGTATGAGACCTGTTCTAAATATATTCTTATTGTAAGCAAAGGAAGATAATGATGTCTTTGTTTTAAGGAGAAAAGGAAACCAACCAACCAGGAAATAGATGCAACCTCTCTCCCCGGCCATCCAATATCTCTAGGTCTTCTTTTTTTGGCCTTCCAATCTGCAGCCAGCTGAGCACAGGGTAAGTTGGCACCCTGTGATGCTAAACTCCTCTGATTGGCATTTATTATACATGTTAAGCATATCAACTCAGTAGATTTTATTTGCAGTAAATGTAATGCAATTAGACTGTAAGCCTGCTACCTTCCAAATAAATCACTCCAACATACTCTTTGCAATCTTTGGGATCACTAGACATGACTGATTACATTTTTCACAGGGAAATTATTAACATTTCAGTAGAAATTCTTACCAGATGTGCAGGCAACTGAGCACAGCAAAGAGAATACCTGCAACCAGAGCCAAGGGAATGGCAAGGAAAAGCGTAAGGAGCTTATATATCAGATACTTGCTGAACTCAAAGACAGCATGGCTGCAGACCCAGACTTTATCGAAGGAGTGAGTGGATGTAGGCTCCGCTATCACGTCCTCAAACCCCAGCTGGAACAGAGGGAAACAAGCATGAGCACCGCAAACACAGCTTCTCTTTTGAAATGCAGAGTGGGGTCTTCACGGGGAGGGAAAGCGCCAGGCAACAGGCAGCAGGAATAACCGGTTGCTTTTGTTACTGTTCTGAAAGAATCTGGTTGATTAGCATGGAATGATTTAGAAGTTTGTGGATTCAAAAAATAGGTACAACCGAGAACTCAGAAACTACCTCTGAGCCTAAATAAACGGGCTTTCCTTTTCTGAAGAGCAAGGGAGCGAGCGAGGAAACCGGCTCCCCAAATAACAGACCGGGGGAATTCTCACAGGCTGGAATCGGGAGGGAGAAAATCCCACGCGCTAAATTCACCTTAAATGGCATAAAGCGAAAACGCTCCACTTCCCCAAAGGGGGCTCGAAGGCGACATTGAAAGGTGTGAGGATGGGGGGTCCGGCGGGGACGCCAGAGTCTGCGCAGGGATCAGGGCGCCCTCACCTTCAGGTGGCTGTTAAGCCCGTGCGGGTCCCGGTCGGGCGCTTTCTCCAGATTGTTGTCAGTCTCCGACGGCGCGGGACTATTGCTCCGATTGAAGCCGTCCTCATCCATGAAGATTTTGGTGTCCATTTTCTCTTTCTCCAGCCCCATGATCCCCCGCCTGGGCAGCCTGGGCAGCCTGGGTCTGGCGGCGCAATTCCTGGGCTGTGGCCGGGGACGCCTTCCCCTCCCCCACCTGTCGGTGGCCCCCTCCTTTGCCCTGGGCTCTGCACTACGATGCTGCTGGGCAGAGGAGGCCAAGCCCAGACCACGCCCCAGAGGACCCCCCACGAGCGACGCCCTCCCCGCGTGCGTTCTGCTGCTACTGCTGCTGCTGCCGCTGCCGCTGCCTCAAGCCAGTTGAGCGGCCCAGGAGCGGCAGAGCTCAATAGAAGTGGCAGACTCACCCACTTGGCAGCCGCGCATGCTCACAAAGGCAGCGTCTAAGTTTTGACAGCTAAGTTTCGGAGACTTAACTTTATCCGAAGGGTCATATCTATAAGTAATATATAAAGTAGACTTTCTTTCTCCACACTTCATTCTTGATTTTATTAATTTTATTTTTAGGATTGCTTTGTTATTGCTCTATGTGTTTGGGACTTTGCTTATATTCTATAGCTTTTAAAAATAAAGAATAAAAAAAACACATGGACAAAACAAGCCCCAGTACAATGACTACTGATTATTCAAGGCCATGCCTTTGCTTGTAGAAGGGCAGTTTCAGTTTTAGCTTCTGCAAATAATGGAGTAGAAAGGGTTTTAAAGACTATGAGAAAAAGAAAATCCATATGTGGTCAGAGGCATTGTTATGATTGACAAGTTCCAGGGCCATCTTGTACTATATAAGAGCCAAAAACAAGGGGCAGAAGCTGTTTTGTACAAACATGTGCAATAAGTACTCAGTTCACAATAATTCAGTATCATTTCTTATGTATGTCAGGGGGTACAATGGAAAATTATTATTTCACTACTATAATTTCAGAAATGGCATCACGGGCCAGACAAGGAGGGAGGAGGTGTTTGCCTTTGTCTCTCTCTCTCTCTCTGTTTTATTTATTGCCCAGTGACTCCAAAACACATCCTCCCCACTTTCGATATAAATAAAATGAACACTTTTTTAGTAGATTCAAATAGAGGGTGGACTCAAATGGACTGCAAAGATTTCAAAAGTGGCCCTTTTTGTTTTAAATGTTGATGTCTCTGATCTTTTTTCATTGTCATTTCAAGTATATTCTTCCCCATAGTCACTAATTTTGTAGGTTTGCAATAGGTAGGCAACAGTTACATGTCTTGATTTTTCTTGCTCATAGAAGAATACTGCTTATTATGTAGTGTGTGAACCAGATGCAACACTAAAAATATTTACCATATTGTAAGTTGCAGTGGCAAGTTTAGGCAAGATTATTTTACATTTCAGTGAAACATTGTTTAGAATATTTAAAACAATGGCTGTAAATGTAGGTCATTGAGAAAGAAGGAGAGGCAGAAGAGAGATTTATTTATTTTATTTATTTATTTATTTTCTTAAATTTATATGCCGCCCTTCTCCCCATGGGACTCAGGGCGGCTCACAGCATATTAAAACATTGTACAAAAAGAAATTTTCCCCTGCTAAAAACCAATTAAAATCCAAATATTAGTAGCTGTGGCTCTTTAAAATTGTTTAAAAATTGTCCCTATTTAAAACTCACCTTAGGTCAGG